ACATCTCTTCACCCAGTAGCCAGTCTAGACCTGTGACAGTTCATCATGGTGACATCTCTTCACCCAGTAGCCAGTCTAGACCTGTGACAGTTCATCATGGTGACATCTCTTCACCCAGTAGCCTGTCTAAACCAGTGACAGTTCATCATGGTGACATCTTTTCACTCAGTAGCCAGTCTAGACCTGTGACAGTTCATAATGCATCGTGACACCGGTGACCACCTTTTCACCCAGAAGCCCGTCTAGATCTGTGACACTGAGTTCACCATGGTGACATCTCTTTACCCAGGAGCCAGTCTAAAACTGTGACAGTTCATAATGCATCGTGACACCTCTTCAGCCACAGTAGCCAGTCTATATCTGTGACACTGAGTTTATCATGGTGACATCTCCAGACAGTCTAGGTTTGTTACAGTTCATCATGGTGACATCTCCCCACCAGTAGCAAGTGGCAGCATGTAGTTCCTCCATGCAACATCTTTTTCCCCTCCAGCAGCAAATATATAAATAGACATGACATTATGGACTTAGTTTTGTCAGGACTTGGTGATCCAAACTAGGAAAATATGGTTTCTTTTTTCATGGCTTCAAATCTTTCCCGATATATATTTGTACTTGTTGTAGAGTGTCAAATTTAGCCTCCGATTAACGTAGTAATTAGTAATTATAGTTATGGTTGGATTAATAGACTGTAGTGCGCGTGATCCTTGTAATGGCCTAGCATCAGGGTGTCAGTTGGATATATTATCTGGCTGGTGATGGCGTATCTTTACATTTGAGGGAAACCTGTTTTACCCTCCTCCACAAACCTCCAAATGAGAAACAAGTAATGATATCATAAATATATAGGTTAGGGAAGAATAACATGCTTGATCCTTGGAATGGCCCAACATCAGGGTGTCAGTTGGGTGTACATGTATGCCCTGGCTGGCGGTGACGGCGTATCATTTTAAACTGACTTTCGTATTAACCAGTTTATGCCAGGAATATTTTGACCAGAACGGAGCGAGACGCGGGATTACCCTCGGGCATCACTTTATATTTCCAGCCTCGTTTACTGCGTGCGGGTTGCTGACATCATATTTCTGGCCTCGCTCCCTGCATGTTTATATCTGTCATCTGTTCTGAATGCCGAAAACATTTGTGTGAAGACACGTTATCTGGCGTGAACTGGTTATTAGAAACATAAAAGAATTTAAAATGCTTCTCTTCATTTTTGTTTAACTGATATACGTGTTTGTAAGATTAGTAAGAAAATAAAAAGGTAGTTTAATTCTGATTATTTGTTAAAGCAGACGACAGGCGTGAACATTGGGGCTGTCCTAAATATCCTGCATATATTTGAAAATTTGATCATCAATCAAAGATTTTTGCTATTTTTAACATTCGAAAATAGAAAAATATTTACATGTATGCACTCGTGCAATGGTAATTTGAGTCATTGTATTTTGTAAGGTTGGGTTTTTATTGTCAAATGAAACTTTTTTGTCAACGGTAACTTTCTTGTCGACACGTACATGTACATGTATTTATTGGTCCCAACTAGGGATCAGTTAATTCAGAGTGAAAATCACTCTAATTTCACATTCAAATATTCTGAAAAGAATAAATCCAGCTAAACTTTAATAAAAATTCAATCTATTCCATTAAATGAATTTCACTCTGCAACATATGTTGCCTAGTTCCAGTCGGTGGGAGTGAATATTCACCTGGAAAAGAGTGAATGTTTACTCTTTAGAAATAAGAGTGTGCTCCGTGAACCTTTTGTCCCATCTTAACTTGCTCAAATGGATTTTTATCTTCACTATTCATGGTGTAAATAAGAAGGGAAAATACCCTCCAAAAGGCCATTCACCAGAAAATGTTCCATGACTTTAAAATTATTAAAACTTGTATTTAACCGTTGCTTACATGTGAAGAAATTGAGACAGATTTTAGGATTTTTGCTAGTGTGCTTTCCAATTATTCCAAATGTGAAAGAAAAGCTGGGCATTTAGATTAAAAGGTAAATAGCATGGCAAGATATGGTAAGAGTAGAAATGTTCCTGTCATTGTAATTGTAGACTTGTTTTTCCAGTTGAACATGGTTTCAAGAATAATTACCGATGTGATAATCAAATTGATGACAACTTGGCAATGCAGGATTGATGATTGGTTCAAAGCATTTATCTGAGTCTTTCATTGCAAAGGATTCTAACCCAGTGACAACTGTTTTCATTCAATGACTATAGCAAACTAAAACATATCAAATAATCTCACAAGGCACAAATCATTTCCATCTATTTTCTAGTCAAAATGTGACTACTGTTTATGAATTGATGGATTACTGCGAGTACATGCTTGAATTTTATTTCCAATATCATTCCTTGATGCAGTCCGTTTCTATCAAAATTTGTTTGCCTTTGTATGATTTATTTTTTTAAATTTTCAAATATTTACTCCTACTGGATCAATACATTGCAAAGATTTCTTTTAATGATGGCTTATTTTCCTCTAGCACTGCATATTGTTTTTTAATTAAACAGTGGTTGATAACTGGAAAAAAGTACTTCAAGTGGTGAGGTGTTATAGACAAGGCAGAGTATAAAGTGCCCCCCACACTAAAATATGCATGGGGACTGCTAGCTAGCTCCAATTAAAAGCCATTGATTGGATGATCGCTGCAAATGAAGAATTGTTTATTTTTTAATCCTTTTTAGCTTTGTTCGTGCATGGACGGTAGTTGAACACATGGCTATAAAAAACTTACTCTTGTCTTATCACAAAAAGTATGCAAAATCGTCAGTGTCTTGAATTAAGGCAACTTTCAAGCATTTGAATTGCATTGGTTTTAAATACTGAACAGTTATGCCCCTGTCTTATTGATATTTGCCAGAGACACATTCAAATTCAGCAAAAAATCAAAGCTAATCACCTCAGAAATTGCTTTGATTGGCAAATGGAGAATTATGTTTGTGTTCTAGCAGGGTGGCCACTACTGTAGCTTTTCACTTGCAAACATTAAACGTACTGACACACAGTATTTCTGTATTTGAATCCCTCATTAACCCTAACAGTCCTGAATCCTCCAGTCATAACATGAAATGTTATACCCCTAGAGAGTTTTGGTTGTTAAATCTGAGTTGCAGTATTGTGGCCACCCTTGTCATTTTAAATTACGAGAGACATCTTCTACGACCTTTCTTCGTTACAACTGTAAAATTTACTGAACTAATGCATGTTATTCCATTTTGTTTTCCTTTTCTCCCAACATGTGCCAAGTCTGTGAAGGCTTTGAAGTCCGGAATCTATTGATGCTGCTCCTGACGTCTGGATCTGATGCCAACCGGTCGGACTCTCCTCGGGAAGATTGGATGGAATCGTCTTAGGGAAAGGGCAAATCTATGGCAAACTCATATCTAGAAACATAATCAAAACTAGGAAGTTTTGGCTGAAGAAGCATTCCAAAGAAGCTTGTGAGGCTTAAAAGATTTTCATAATTTTAAATAAAATAGTAGCAATGAGAGCTGGAATTCTAAATGAAGGATTTTGCACAGTGTTCCTTGCAATCTCAAACAAGTGAAAACCCTTGCCATGGATTTGCCCTGTACACTCAAATATAAAGATGTAGAACCAGGCACATGTCACATATATCAAATTAATTATTGGTTTTTGCAAAGGTTTTTGTAAAACAAAAAACAAAAAAAAACAAGAGTTTTAAAGTAAATTTTTTCATCTCAAATTTGATCAACTATCTGTAAATAATCTTTACATTATCAAGACTTGAAGAACCTATAAACCGCTCTTATTTCAAAACGTCTAATTTCTTTGACGACAAGATCTTGCATTGAACTCTTTCCTTTCAACAAGCTCCTTTATTTATTCGAAATGGCTTCATGCTGCACAAAATAAAACCTTGGCAATTAGGTTGGTGTGGTTTGATGTAACATTTCTTAGGATTGAGAATTTCCCTTTAAATTTGAAAACAAGAGGGTCACCTTTTCTAACTAAATTTCCTGATTTTATTGAATGTTAAGATTTTTATTGAAAATTTTGATTATCACAATGACTTTTTATTGAAAATTTTGATTATCACAATTACTTTTTAGTCATTTTTTCCTGACATGTGCCTGGTTTATTTGGTTATATAGAAATTAAGTATCTACATGAGCACACCATATGAATGATTCAGTCAGTCAAACTCAATAATTGTAGAGAATTTTGCCAGTATCCTTGCAGTTGTATGTCAAATGCCGCAGTTTCAGATCCTGCTTTTCCACTTATAAAAAGCACTTAAATGAATGACACGTAATTGTCATACAGTTTAAATTATCAAAGTAACTTTTAAAGTTATCTCCCCTTGCTAGTTTTGAGTTTCACTCAGAAAAAGATTTTTCTAACAATTCAAATTATCAGACCACGTTTAGTTAATATGCAATGATTTCTAATTGCTGCCAGAAAATACTGTTGTGCGTGATGGCCCAAAATGAAAGCGCATTATTTTTCAGAATGTTGAAAATATCCGAAAAAAAACTTTCTTTTTAAATGAAACTTCAATTGAAGAAAAAATTCAGTAAAAAGAAATCAATGTGTTCAAAAGCACAAATAGAGAACTTTAAACTAGCCAAATCTTAAGAGCAATGTGACTCTTATGAATAATTAAATACAGTTTAGTACTTTATGTTCCAAAAAATAGAACTTTTTGGTGACACTGGCTGGTAAATTGCTGTAAATCATTCCTATGGTGTGCTCGTAGAGATTTGATGTTTTTTTTGAACGAATAAAACAAATCTTTGCTTTTTTGGTGTTGTGTTTTTATTACCAAAGTAATTTAGATGACTTAAATGCAAAGTTTAATATTGTGTACAGGTACAGTTCTAAAAATGGGAACAAAATGTTAATCAAAAAGAATTCATTTTACAAAATTGCTTCAAAAATTGCTAATTTTATAGAGAAGAATATACATTTTTAGAGTTGTATTTAAAAAAAAATCTATCCCAATAGAACTGTGCCTGTATACATTTCAACTTTGCTGCTTTAAAGTTATGTTAACACACTGAGGGCGCTCTTTACTCAAGGTGAGTAATGTAACATTGAGGGCACTGTTTCTCAAATATATTTTTTTAAGTTATCAAAATGTTGAGGGCGCTATTCTATAATATTTAAAGTGATTTTTTTTTTAAGTTGGTTTTTCTAAATATTGAGGGCGCTGTTTATGAAATAAATCACAATTATTAACCAAAATTGTAAGATGGTGTTGCTTGAACTTTATTTCCATCTGGTTTGAACTTGTATATTTATTTTTTTTTTTTTTTTAATTTTTTTTTTTTATTTGACCTTGAACTTGAACTTCACCTTGAACTTGACCTTTTACCTGACCAAAAAAAAAGCCCAGCCACACACAGGCCCCCCCGGTGCGCACACGCATGTCCCCGCCCACAGACACCAACAAGCAGCAGTCACCCAACTACCCACACCAACTTGTGACCAACTATTGATGAGTGTAAACAGCGCCCTCTAGATCTTGCAAGTTGTGCAATCATGGATAACCCAAGTAGAAAACAACATAATAAGGATCCTATTAAACTCCGACAATCGGTTCAGTTTTCTACAAGGCAGATGGTACTTTGGGTTTTTGGTTATGACCGTTGCCACGGTAACCCACCATCTACTCTAAGAACGACAATTAAAGAGACACTCTGCATCTTTTCCGTTATTGTTCCTCTCAACATATCAGCCGTTCACAGTTACATCATGCCAATTAATCCGATCAAATAAAATAAAATACCCAGCATTCAGTTTCCTTGTCATGAAGATTTTCTTGGATATTTCCAGTGTCGGATAATATTTAATCAATCGTAATGGCCACAAATTACTTCGGTAACTTTCCACAGTTTTAACTCTAATTGTTAGGCTGTTTTTACAGTAGTTGTTTTTACATTTAACATGTACGTCTAACGAACAAATCGTACATTTGTTACTGACATACGGTAGATGATACCACACGTATAATGCTCAATGTTTTCCTTTGCAGAAAAGGACAAGTTTAATTTTACATACTTTCAGCTGCAAAAATATTGTGCTGAACATTCACCAAGTTAACCTGTATTGATGTACAGGTAGTTCCAAATGGAAATTTTACAGACTATCGTGCAAGCATTACAGTAAACAAGGCTTTTGGTAGCACACAACTTTCCTAAAAGATTAAGTAGTTAATAATTCGCAAGATATTTCCTTACTTATTTTCATGGAGTATTTTCGGTGTAATTTTCAGTCAAGGCTGTTAGAAGATGCCTTGCATGTACATGTACATGCATGTACATGTACATGAACATTGCATGTACATGTACATGCATGAACATGTACATGCATGTACATGTACATGTACATGTACATGTACATGTACATGAACCACACTTCAATGTTTCCAACAAATATTGAGAGGAGCAAAGATTTTCAAGCTCCATAAATTGTAGGACGAGATTCTTGTGCAAAGATTCCAGAATTTGAATTCATTCTGATAACAAATATTATATTTTCAACTGAAGAATTTTTAGCCATTCTTTTCTGGCTCTTAGTTGTGTCATCACCTTTCGAAAATATTCTTTGGTTCGTTATATTGCATACGCCAATGGCTTTGGCACAAAATTGTTGACAAAATGTTTTCCAAGTTTAACTTGGGTTTGCTCTACACAATACTTTGTTTATTTATTGTTAAATTCACGTCTAACAGACAGCTTGCCTTTAGAAGTTTAGGCAACGTGTTGCTTCTGGGTAGCCAAAATTTCAGTACAATACCGAATCAATGAGTTGATTCAAAGGTTAGATTGAATTTCATTCTCGATAGAATCCAATTTCATTTTGTTTTCTTCTTTGATCCTGGATGTGCCCTTCTGAAGAACCATACTGCTCAGTGACTCGGTGGATGATGTGGTAGCAATCTGCCCGTCAGCATCCATAGAAACTGTGACATCCAATATGACACGGGGGAAGCCTGTCCCGTCGCCCATGCTAAGTTTAATTGAAGTTTTCAATAATTCATGCACTGTACAATTTTTAAAATACATCCTCATTGTTACTCATTAAACCCAATGGTTCTCATGGCAAAACTGCAGCTGATTTCACAAACTTTACGCAGTGGTGTAAGTCCACTTGCGCCACACTTTATTGCCAAACTTGCGCAGGAATCTACAATGCGCAACATTTCAGTTACTACAATTTAACAAAAGTTTCCTAGTGCATTTAAATCAGCGACTTGTGCAACAAATTACGGCGTAACTTTGCATTTATTTTAGGTGAAGTAAGTTGTGTGGCGTAGGACACTACAATTGATTTATTTTATCTACAAATTGTGATTGTCAAGCAAGTTATTGCACTCGCAGCTTTGTTTTTGAAATAAATGGATAACTACATGTATTTTAAATACCTGCGACAGTTTTTCAAAGTGTTGCCACACAATTCCAAACAAAGTCGAACAAACCGCCACGGGCCATATTTTCAAAATGGCAGGGGGAGGTGATGCAATGCCTTTTTCATGAATGGATACAATCTGACACAAACAGCCATCATAAATGCTGTTATTATCCTATTTAAAAAGTTGCGCAGTTATGCCAAGTTTTGTGAAATTGATCGTAAGCTTATTGTGCATCCGCACAACAAGTTCGTTGCGCAAGTCCTACGCATGGCGCAAGTTACACACTGTTTTGTGAAATCGGCTGCAGTGGAGTAGGTGTGTCTGCATAAGGCAGGTAATGTACATGCTCACATGCAAACCTAGGCAGGTCCTGGGAAAAATCTAAGATATTGAATTAAAATTGCAAATAGAAGCACTGAACTAATATGTCTATGTTCTTTGCCTTTAAGCAACCACGCCATTGACGCTTTTGACATTGGATGGACATAGATTTTTCTATTTCAAGTCAGTAACGGTGTAACGGACACCTTGCATTAACTACACCGAGCCTTGGCTTTAAAACTTCAATACGTAACAAGTTTTAGTGACGACGTGTGTTCAAGTGTGTTCCTGTCACACAAAGAGGCTACAAGTTTGTGCATATTCGACCGTCAAAAGAGGATTACTTGTTCTCTGCCTAATTTCGTACACATGTGTTATCCTGTTGGCGCATGTTGTGTTTCATATATCGCCTCTTAGGCGCAGGCAAAGCAGCATTTACAGTGTATGTGTTGAGTCTCAAATGCTTGTGCCAAACAGTTGCGCGAAGAATTCATCTACGCAATCAAGCACGCATTGCGCAATGTTGAAAATGTTCCAAACATGCACGCTTGTTGCTCGAAATGTGTTTGAAATACGACGCAGCTGATGCGCGTTACGCAAGTTCACGCTCAAAATGCCGATGCATGTGGATGGTCTGTAGGAAATGACGTCATTTGAACGAGACCTATTTTGCAATCGGTGATAACCAACCAGTAAAGAACATGTTCAAACTTCTGGACTGGTTCCAACCATTCCTCTATTCAAAGAATGTAATGACTAGCAGAGAACCAGCCTATGTTTTCTTTTGGTTTTTACCACATAGTACATAAATGTATTTCATGCAAGGAGCCCAAATTAAGAAAGGCATTGAACACAACAGCGTCTATTTTTCAGTTGTCTGCATTAATATCGGTAATTTTGGATTTTCCCAGGACCTGCCTAAGTAACACTGTACTTTTAATTTCTTGGTCTTTGACATTAGCCACGATCGTGACAGCAAAGTACGGCAAAATGCGAAATATTCCGACATTTCATCTATCGTTTTCTTTCACAAGGGGTTGACGGAGATTACGTACCATCTAAGAACTATTTCCTGCATAAATCTTAGTCCGACTGTAATTTATATATTTAAAATGAGTGTTAAAATTTCTAGCCTGCATGTTTAAGTTTCCAATATCCCTGCAAGTTTTTTATTTGAAATTTATCTGAATACTATCGTACGATGGATGCCAATTTCAAAAATATACTAATGACTCTATACACGTAGAGAATTGTGAATATTGAAAAACCGAAACAGGCAATTTTTGTGGTCTTTTTCTAGAGTTTACAGAAAATATCAAGGCCCTACATGCACATGTACCTCTTCATCATTTATCTGAATATAGTGCTAGCAGTTACATATCCCAGAGATGCACGTAATAATTGTCTAAACCTGTTTTAAATTAGCAGAAAGTAAGTACTTTTTGCAAGTTCTATTTACGAGTAACTTAATCATCCGTCGTTTGTTGAACATCTACAATTTTCATCCACATCTTGGCTGATGACTCATTGGAAAATCATGATCTTTTAAGTTCAAAAACTTGGTGAGATAACATTCTTGCTGGAACTACACTTTAATCGCAAATGATGTTTCCCAATAAAGTTCTAGATGGAAGAGTTGCTGTAAATCTACAAGTAAGACTTGTTCCTTGTCACCTTAGTCAAGAACAGCATCACATCGTCATGAAACCTATGCAAATTCCCCACATCTTTACCTATATGATCTCATTTTAGATTTTTTTTTTCCCTACATGGTTCAATTTAAGGGAATAACATGACATAACTAAGCAAAATGGTTATGACACCTACTTATTTTTAGGTACTTTATGTAATACTTCTGAAATGCTTTCAATGCTTTCATCAAATGAAAAATCTTTCAACTTTGAACATAAATAAATCCTTTCCGATAAGCATCTTATTTGCACATGACTTAAACTAGACATAGTTACGAGATGGTATCTCCAATCAACTACCCGTCAATTTCAGGTCGGAAGATAGGATAAACATTTTGAAAAGTACAGTTTGAAAGATATCACATGTTCGTTTACATGGATTGCATTTACACACATGCGCATTTTCCGTACATGCTGTCGTTGAGTCCTTTGTCTTCGTGAAAATTAAATTCTTTTCGACAAGTCTTACACTGTCGTAAGGACAGTTTGGACATGGAAAAACATGTGACATGGAGCTGTGATAGTCTTCAGTCTATGGCAATACCAACAATGTCCCAAAAGTTCTCCATTTCTTCTCACGCTAGAACACTATAAGCACTGGGATTTGGTCCATGGTGCTTACATGAATGCAAGTATCGCTAGCAGGCAGCAACGTCCTTACAATTTGCTTATGATGTTTAAAACAAACATATCCAGCGAAAATATATTTTAGACTTATTGCTGAGAATTTGGTTACAAATTTGAAATGAACTGTTTTGACATACATTTGGCTTGCTGGTGCAATTGACTCTTCAAAATATACCTTTAGGATTTTCTCGCTTTTCCTTTTTCTTCTGACTTTTCTAGTCATGATGAAATATGTACATGAAGAAATGAAGAACTTTTGGGACATTTTGTTTCCTACATCACATAATTTGGTTTTGTGACTTGATCAAGACATTGACTGGTCATGTTCTTTCAAACAGAAATTCAGAGAAACAAACTGAGCTCAATTAAATCACGACTGGAAATTTCCTCTGCCAGGATTTTTGCATAGATTCAAGTTTGACTTATCACTAAAGATTGGCAGATTCTTTGTATTCAATCGCTCACTTTGAAGTTTTACATGCGGGATAAAGCATTGGCACTGTGGTCTCATTGTAATCTTGTGCTGATGATTGAAAGCTGAATGGTACAGCCATAAGTGATGCAAGATTTTGCTCTGGGTAGATCACATGTACAGTCATTTGGAACAGAATATGAACAGTCTACCATGACATGGATGTACATGTACATGTACATGTATTCTAAAGCACAGCATTGTGTTGTGCTAGACTTGCCTCAGTCCGTTCTCCGTCCACATCATGTGGGTACTAATGAAACCTGTGCCTGCTGAGCCGAGTTTAGCTCAGATCATATCGATTACAATGCAGGCTACGACATGAGTCCTGTATGTTGTTTTGAGCAGAGGCATTTCGTATCAATACTGTTATTATCAGTAGCTGGTTGACCGTTTGGCTGTAAATTGCATCAGCACTATCTGCACTTAGTAAAGTCCAGACTGTAATATTTTTGTAATTTTAAATTCAATACTATTTTGGATTTTGGAGTCTGCTCAGGCAGACATCAGTGATTTGAGCTCATCACAGACTGCGGCCGACATTAGAATTACAATGCCTTGATCAAGTTTCATGTTAAAACAATGCTGCTTAACTTTCAGCAAGTTTGTTTGATTTTTTTGCCGTCAATTTCAGGAAAAACCTTGGTGATATTTTGTAGTGGCGTAGCTATAGATTTGTGGGGGAGGGAGAGACCTAACATTGATATGTTCAATTTTATCATTTTGGCCTGAATTAAAGGCAAGCCTCAGCTTTCTAGAATTTGATGCATGAGTCAACTGAACTAGATCACTTGATTTTTGTGTTTTTCGATTTTTCAAACAAAATCAGCTCCTCTAGATTGTGAGGCGCATGCTGGATGAAAACTTGACATCCACTGAGGAAACTTCTGCAAGAATCATTCATTTCAAAAATTGGCACAAGGCATTTTTGACCAACTCTTAGTATCCATAATGGACTTTTATCTTAAAAAGTCAAAGCGAAATTTAAACCTTTCCAAAATGTTCAAGAAATCTCAAAATTTCTGTGCCTCATATTAATATGCAGAGTTTATTGTATTTCAAAACGACTCATTGACAAGTGTTTTTTTGGTCAAGGAATACATGCTGATCAAGTGATTGTTTTTTTCTGCAACGTACGTATAGCAAACTCAAGTGACTTTTCATCTTTATCCTGTCATCATTTTAGAGTTGTGTGAACAACTGTTATGTTTAATATTTCCACATGCTCATGCAGCTTTGGCAGGATTGGTTGACTGACGTGTGGATTTAGTGGACCACTGACTGCCTGTCTCCTATTGTGGTTGATCAACTAGCACATCAACCAATTACTGATAGTCTGGTCCCCTCCCTCCCCCGTGGCCATTAGCTACACCACTGTGTATTGCCATAGACTGAAGACCATCTGTACATTACTGCCTTGTTTAATGCAGACTACACCATACTCCTAAGCCATGAGATACACATTTGGGTTTAACAAGCAACACATGAGGATGTACCAGTGCATGAATTCATTCTACAAACTTCAATTAAACTTACCATGGAAGTTGTTGACAGGACTGGCTCCCCGTGTCTGATGTCACAGTTTCTGTTTAGGATACTGAGAGGCAAATTGGTACTCAATCTACCAGGCCATTCACTCTTAATTGATCGAGGGGCTCACACCCATTTTCGATTTGTCCCATGTTTAATTTGCCGCTAAGGTTTTTTCTTTTGGGGAGTTGATGAATGGGAGAAATATCTACACAATTTCTGGATGGAATTTAGCTCATTCTGCAAGCGCCAATTCTTATTTTTTTTTAATTGTGGAGTCCGTCAAGTGAGTTTTTCATCCTTGCTAGCAAGGATACTTACATGTAATTTCAAAGAATTTCACAACGTAGAAACAAACGTCTGGTTGTTTGCAACCATATTTCCCTTGGAAATGTGAAATGAAAATCTCCCTTGTTAAGTGAATCTCTGGCAGACTTGACTCCAGTTTGTACAGTATACTTTCCATCATATTTAAGGTAGTTTCTCCCAAACATGTTTTGTTTTCTCCCTTCTTTGGACAAATTCAGAGCGAGTGTTTTTTGCCCCTCTATGATGTGAGTGAATGGCCTGGATACATCATCCACCCAGCAATCTAACAGCATGGTTCTCCCTCTCTGCACACCAGGCATTTCTCTACTACAGTTTTGAAGAGTTTGGCTACCAGTTTTTGGTTTACTTTTTTACAAATATCTTTAGTTTTTGATGCAAAAACCCCTACATGTACGCATAAAGATGATGACACTTAAAAATTTGAATTTTGTTTCACAGAAATGTCCAGAAGTATCTTTAGACTTTCTTATTTTTTTCATTATAGAAATTCAGTCATATTTAGAATTTTTTGTCCTCTCAAAAACCAGGATGCGATTTTGTTAATTCAATATTTTTTTTGGTGTCAACTACTGTGAACTTCAAATTTAATTGTTTGCAGTTTACTAACTGTAAATTCCGACAGTTAAAAAGTTCCAAATACGACAAATTTAGAATGTGTGTATGCTACCAAAACCATGAATATACAATTCAGACGCGATTGTAATTTTTGGAGAAGCTTGCACCATCTTATTAAATGACATCATTTGGTGAAAACACCTCCCTTTGAGGTGAAATGAGCAAATGCAAAACTAGAATTTCAGAGTTATACTGTGGAAATTACCAAGACAATTGTGGCCAAACAATTGTTCAAACATCATACGACACTGTCAAATATCCTAGAAAGCCCACAACAAGTAACTGATGCTGAATATTTCATTATTTTTTCGGATCACTGGCAATGATGGCTGAGAACTCTTGACATGTTTCAAGTGAGCAATGGCGGAGTTAGACACAGAAGTGTTCTCTTGAGTTGCCATTCCTGGAGTAGTGGACATGTACATCTGCTTTGTAGACAAACTAACCAATTGCCAAAGTTTAAAGGATCCTTACCATGTTGCAGTCTTCCGAGGTATCCACAATCACCCAGGGTGCAAGATTTCGAGGGGAGCTGCATACATCACCAACAGTCAATTCACAAGCCGATGCAGATAGCGGGCAACCACCAACCTGTCAGCGTCTGTGGGCAGGGGACACACGTGCACGCACCAGGAGGGCCTGCATGTGGCTGGGCTTTATTGGTTTTTATTCACAGTGCCTGATGGTAAAAGACAACAATGCAAAAATTGTTAAACTATTTTTCCAAAATAAATGTTGCAAGTATATGTATAATCAGCACTGAGGTACAACTGTGCTTGCGCTTACTATGACCAGAATTTGCATACGCTGTATTTTTTTTAAACGCCATTTTTGAATTAGGCAAAGCTTCAAGTCTGCAAAATCACCAAAATTTGCAGAATTTGGAACTCATCAATGCAGTGTCAAAGAGAAAGAGCCAGTTTTCATAACTCCATGTTGCAGCTTGTGTTTTTAAAACTCCATGTAGCAGCTTGTGTTTTTAAAACTACATGTAGCAGCTTGTGATAAATATATAGCCATGCTTGTTTTGCACAGGTTGAATGATCTGATGGAAATGAACGGTCGCTAAATGTGATCAGCCTAAATGTCTGCAATAGCCATCTTACATTCTATCCTTCAAATCCTCTCATTTCTTAACATCAGTGCTGATTATACAGTTCAAACCAGGTGGAGGATGGGTAAAAACCTAGGAATCTATTATTTGAAGATAAGAACATTCATGTAGCAAAGTAAGAGCTCAACGCCTATCAAAATGATTGCATATATTTTGCACTGACCAAGACGAATGTCTTAAACTGAATGGCAATAGCATTGACAAATTGATATTTATTGGTCGAACATAACGCAAATTTGACAATTTTCAGTTACTGAACTTGATGATTTGAATGCTTGGTTCATTATGAGATGAATTGCCTATGTCCGAAAAAAAGCCCGCGCAACATGTTAAATTTCAAGCGACTTTCCATTAGACGATATTTTGCTTCAACTGTATTCACAGTGGAGTGACATCATTTACCCATCATGCACCTGGCTTGAAAACATTTACCATTCAGGCATTGAATATTGTAATAAAAATTAAATTATTGGTGTAACCAGCCCTCACATCACTCAACAATGATATTTAGTTTTTAAAGTGTGCTTTAGGTCAAATGGACAAAAACAAGTGTGAATTCATTCAGATCATTTGGAAGTCAACTGTTTCAAGCTGTATTTCAAGCTGGGAATATATCCAGTTTTTTGTACACAAGGATCAGGAGTGGTACGTCTGCAAATTACACCCAATGGATGTTTCTGTACTTCACGTACATTCAATGCTCTCATGTCTTTCCACGCACATTTATACAATGTTCCCACAGTTTCAAAAGTTTGATTTCAGACAAAGTGTGAAATTTTTCAGATACCTAGCTTGTTCTTTATGATACATCCTTCAGGACAAAGTTCTTTGTTTTTTTTCTTTCTTTCTTTTGCTCCAATTTTCATAGACTGTGAGGACTGGTTACAAATGAAGAGCTCGTTTCCAAAACGTGACATATACATTTAAAAAAAGTGAAAATTTGAACGGTTTTGAACTTCAAAGAATAAAAATAATATAGCAGCTCTTTTTCAACTTCATTTTTTGACTTATTGATTTCTAGTTGTGTTGAAGAATATAACAGCCAACAAAATTGCTTTTCAGCAGCCAGGAGAGAGCAGGATTCTAAAAGAGAATAAAATGGTGTAAATCACGTCTTGGAAATAAACTCTTTAAATACAAAGTCCATTCTGAACAATGAGAGGTGGTGTCCAAAGGTTATTAAAGAGATAAGTAAAAGTTTAATTTGTATTTCTTCAGTTATTGTAAACTGTGCTAAAAAATGGTACAGTGCCCATAACTTCACAGGGATGCAATTTTTGTCAGAGTGTGCAGATGGTTGACTTTAAAGTCACACTTTTTCAGGCCACTTTGATTATAAAAATAATGCCCCAACCTTTCAGAGCTAAGCAATCAAAATGGACTTTGTATAGCAATTAAGATATATGAACCAAAAGTCCCACCCTCAACCCATGTATCTGTCTGTTTCAGTGGCATAGCTTTGAAGGTGTCCATGCAATGTCAAGAAGGCAACTTGAGGGACAATCAACGATGTTGATTCTGGAATTTAAGCTCAAATCACAAATGCAATTTGATTGCAAGCCAGCAGCTTATTAGTATCAGCTCTTGTGTGTACTTTTTAAACTTCAAGATAAACAGGAACTTTTTTGCCATCTTTGAGATGGGTAAATGAATACATTTATTATGTTCTGCAAGCAAAATCTTTACTTGCGCTGAAAAAAGGTGAAGCTATGCCACTGTGTTACAACCCAACCCAATTTTCTAAACTCAGTTTTCCTTAGTTGATGGCTGTCTCTGTAGCAAGTCCTTTAGCCGTAAAAGTTCTTGGCAATAAAGGTCAGAGCAGCAACACTCTGGAACACAATCCAACATTTGGAGAGCATCGGGAGATGTAGGAGTACACTTCTTGCAGGATTAGCTTGTAGCTTCTTGGAGTGCACATGTATGGTTCAGTCTGTAAAATGTTCAGACAAGATGCATATCCACAGAGTTCAAAATGAATCAGGAACACAACTAAGCAGTTACAGTCATTCATGGCTGGATGAGTCAGACAGTCTATACCATCCACCATAGTCAGTATCTCTTGTCCTGTGCAATGTTTTGAGTGATGTATCAGCAAACTTCCACATGATGAAGGCAGCAGAGCCTGATGAGATGACAGACCTGAGTCGGTGATTGGGGAGTACTTGATTCCAGCAGTCTCTTGAACAAGGCAGTCCATGGTTGACCCTATTACAGAAAGAAAAAGAAACGATGCTTTTCTTAAGTCCTGCAGTTTCATAAAATGGTTTTTCAAAAGGTCACAAACCTCTTTTCGGGTCATTCCGTGCCAATTCAACGGGCCATGGCACCATATGTCACAGATTTTGTTCAAACTTGGTGGAAAGGTTCTGTTAGTTGTTCTTAAGATGATATCAAAAGCAAAAATTCATATTGCTTTCCGTTGAGGTGTTACGGTACCACAAAGTTCAATGAACTTTGCAAAAAAAAAAGGGAAACAGACTGGCCCATAGAATAAATTGCTGACTTTCATGAAAATGTCAGATACACATGAATTTTTTTTGATAATATTAATCTTGAAGATACACTCTTTCTTAATAAAAAGCCTAGAAAATTATATCACCTGAGCCACATGGGGAAAACAATGGTAACCCGTCATTTAACCGCTGTTTATCCATAGATTTTAAGGAGAGCGATTTGCTCTCCTCAAATATTTGAGGAGAGCAATTTATAGCTCTCCTGGATTTTCTTTAAATGAAGGACTGTTTTTGGCCTATGTGTATCTCAGTATGTCTCTCTACCTAATGTTAGTTCAAAAACTAGATGAACATCCACACATAATGTCCAAATTGTAGTTGGGGGGGGGGGGGCTTTTAATACTTCCCTTGTGTTGTGTATCTCATATGGTGTCTCTTACAATTTTCCCTTTTTTTCATAAAAGTTTGAAACTGTGATTTGACATCGCTTTTGTGTGATAAACATAACAGTGATGACAATATTAAACATTGTTAACAAATTGTTAATATTTAACAATTTTGTTCAACAATTTTACTTGTTTTTCAAAACACCCCTCTACATGTAGCTGTGTTATCGTATGTCCCTCTCATGAGTCGTAAACAGCTCCTTTTACGAAGATTGACGAGCGCGTCGTGCTACTCACTGCACGATGTGGTGCAGAGCGCAGGTGTGAATTTCGGACTATGAAATACTGACTCACTGGTAGTATTGCATATTCCTATGTGAGGATTGTGACCGCTCAACCAATAAAACGGTTTAAACATGTTTAAGGCACCGGATTTCACAGAAATCCAAATTTCATGTGACACTCCAAAAGTTTTTAAGACCAGCCAGCTGGTCTTTATCAACCACAAGCTGATTTACCCGATCATAGATCGGGTAGGGCGTATTTGTGTTGGGGTTGAAAATGTGGGGAGTTAAATGTACAATGTAATTGGGGGACTTAGTTGAGAAGACATGCAGTTATAGAAAAGCAATTTCTGTGGTGCGATCTCAGGCAATTTCTGACCACTATTATAGTAAAAACCAATTGTTTTGAGCAAAAGATTAACTTTTGAACATCATTTTCGAGTTTGGAGTGGGGGGGGGGGGGGGGGGGGAGAGACCAAACTATATCCCACTTTAAGATGTTGGGGTGGGGGTCCCCGTCCCTCACCGATTGACGCCTATGATAATTATGTACCATGGCATGTACATGTATAACTGTCTGTAAATTTTCCGGTTGGTCTGTTAATTAAGTTGGCATTTTGTACAGTTTTGACAATAAATCATAATGCAATAAAACGTGAACGTGTCAAGTTGCAATAGAAATGTTGAATGTTATACCATAAAACTACAAAGTCTGAATCATGGAGGAAGGTCATAATTAAGTTACAGTATTGGACTCTTCAACAAACGTAAACTTGATACTTTTTACAATTTGGAGACCTGCGTGGAAAACTCAATTCAACTTTTATATAAGTTGGCCTTTCAACCACAACATAAGCAAGACCAAACAGCCAACGACGTCCACCAATGGATATTATTATTTATGCAACGTAGTTCAAAGATCGCGATATTTGAAGAAATGCATCGATCCTTCGTTGATCCCAAAACAGGCCCCCGAAATTATAGCGCGGCACTGAATTATACGTGGCGGGCAGCGAACATCACAAAAACGTGGCTCAGCCTTGATGGAAGCAACAGCACTCTATCCATAGAGCTTGCCCTATGCTCTCATGCACGTCTCAATGCTTGTGTTTCAAATATCGAGCACCGTAGACCCAACCTCGTTTCCAGGGTGTGGAGCAAGCTGCAGTACGCGTTGCCATCGACGGTTTTACGCATAGCCGGGAAGTACTATACGCAGTGTAGACTTTCGATTGGTCAGACCGCGCAAGGCATACTAATGTGTAGTCCTTCTGAGTATTAGTTGCACTCGGCGCAGGGGCGGCAAGCAAAGCACAGGGAAGAATAGGGACACTTGGTGGCCATGCACCATGGAGAAAAAATATTTTGCCAGGGTCACCCCATGCTACCGTTTGGTGAATACTCGCTTGCACGCACACCAGAGCTACGTGTATGTTGAACAGAGCGGATCGCGTGCGTTCGGCGCAGTGTTCTAGCCAGGCATCAAATAGCACTAGCACCCGCTACGCTTTCGGAAATAAGCGCTACGCTTAAATCGCGCCGCTACGCTACCGCTACGCTATAAATTTTGGTAGCGAAAAAAAAATATCTGCTGTTTGTTCGTATACAAGCGCAGCGACTGTGAGCATTGCGCACTGGCCGTACGACACAGCGAAAAATAAACAACGATCCCACCGCACGTACCCCGTATGATACCCCTACCGTGATGCTGCGCCACACGCATTCGCTATGATAGCAATAAGCACGTGCTGTTTTGTGCTGCGTAGATACAGCGCTCCGTACGGACGTACGTGGACCACACCATTTTGCGCTATCAGGTGTGCTTTCCTAAGGTCAATATTTACAAACATTTCAACTGTTTTAAAATTATAAATAATACTTTTTATCAAGTCCGAAACATATAACTGTTTGAAAATAAGTCCTTCAACGTCGGAACATAATTTTTGTAAAGGATTTATTCGAGAAACGATGTCCAAAGAAAGGTTAAGCACCCCTACGATATCAATGGATCCGTCCCCAAAGATGGCCGCACGTGAAGATTTCTTCTCGAAGAATGTCGCTGTCGAAAATTTGGATTTTTGACTACACTACTCGTTGCTGATAATAACAGTTCAATAAGTTTGGTAGTAACGGATCTGTTTGTTCTTAGGACAAAACCAATCAGCAAGTATTGCAACAAAACAAGTTTTTTTAGCGCTCCACGAATGCGTAGCTTTCTCAAATGCTGAGGGAAATTTGGTCGCGTAGTTCGCCGGCGTAGCCGGTGTGGGCTGGCCCGCGCCGCGCCCGCACGCCGGGCCGGCCGCGGCCGGGATAGGAAGCAATTCCCGGTGATTATTTCTCATCGTCATTATCTACAATTATATTTTTTAACATAACAAAAATGAGATTTCTCCTTCACATTGTGTTGTAGCATATTGAAATTGCAATCGCCGACGACTTTTTATGTCTGAGACCTCCATGGTTTTACAATTTCTCTCCCTGCCGATCGGATGGTTTTATTTACAAATTTAAAATCGGAACTACTGCTACTACGGCAGCGCTACACAACACAAGGCTTCTTGAAATATGAAATGTTCATGCGATTTGTTCTCACACTTAACATTGACAAAGTAAATCCCAATTTTTTATAAAACATTGAGGAACTACTAAAAATGGTTAAACATCAGAAAGCATCCATCTTGGAACAACTTATACATTGTAAACGTAATCTAAAATTTGAAAACAGAAGAAACTTTACAGGAGCAAAAGTATTAATCATTGAAACAAATAAAACAAAATTTCTTATAATTTTAAACACTTCTGCAAAAAAAACTCAGGGGAAAGTGGCAGGGAATCGCCTCAGATTGCACCACAGAGCATCTAGAGTCCAAAATTTTTCGGGGCCCTTAAGCAGGCCCCAGACCCCACGCCGTAAGGGCTCCGCGCTCGCATTAGTCGCCGAACCAAAATTACCCCTACGCTATAATTTCACCCTGGCTAGAACACTGGTTCGGCGGCGGCGGAAAATAAAATAAAAACGGAAATAAAATCAATGCTTACGCGCGGGGGAAAAAGCGGGGGGAAATCTGGACCATCAGAAGAAAAAAAGCAGAAAACAAAATGTGGCACGCTGAACAAAAAAGCGGAAATCTGCTAAATAGCGGAGATTTCACACCCCTGATTGACGATGAGAAATAAACACCGGGAATCGCTGCCGGCAAGTTAGCGCATGGCCCGGCAGCATGTGCCAACGAATGACAACAGATGCTGATTTGTTTTGTCCGAATAAATAAGTCCTTTTTTACAACAAAGCTTATCAAATTGTTGTGATTACTAACGAGTAGTAACATCAAAAAATCAAGTGTACGATCGTACTTTCTTGCAGCTAGCACGATGCATGGGCGAATCCATTAATTTCGTAAGGGGTGATTTAGTGCCAGTTTTGCGTTTAACGTCGTTTCTTGAATACATTTCCAGAAAAAAATATATATTGTGACGTAGAACAACTGACTATCGTATAAAGAAATGTTTCGGACTCCATAAAAAGTATTAGTTGTCTTTTCTTCTGCGGAAATATCGATAATTATTGTTCCCAAGACGGTACACCACTTTATTACCCAAAATGGTTTGGTCCGATCATACAGCGTGCGTGTTGCATGCATGACCGGGGCACGCATGCAATCACATCAGATTCCAACGAAAGGGGTCCTACTAAAGCGCGTCAACAAGCGTCAACAAGCGTCAACAAGCCTCAACTTTATATGGTAAAAAAGGCAATAAAGAACATCTTCTGCAAATCAATTAAAGTTAAAATTATATTAAAACTTGGTTTTTTGAACACGAAATGTACGGCGAAATTGTCGATAAAAGTTGGCCACCATCTTGTTTATGTGTAGCTAGCCGTACTACGCATGCATGAAGTGTACAGAGCCATACTACGCATGCGCGAAGTCTACAGCGCCATCCAAACAAGATGGCGGCCAACTTTTATCGACAAATTCGTTGTACATTTCGCGTTCAAAAAACCAAGTTTTAAAATAATTTTAACTTTAATTGATATGCAGAAGATGTTCTTTATTACTTTTTCTACCATATAATTAAAGCTGTTTTTAATGTCCAAAAGCCTCTACAAAATTTGTTGATGCTCGTTGATGACCGTTGAGGCTTGTTGACGCGCTTTAGTAGTACCGAACGAAAGAGTTCGCTCACGCACGGCCCGCCGGCCGGCCAGCGCAGCAGTGTATACCGTCAACGCTCGGTAGCGAACCTCAGTATCTTTTCGTGGGATGTGCTTCCACTGTTCGTTTAAAAAAATGATTTGCCTCAGGTAACAATTGATAATTCGTTTCAGCAACAGATCTTATTTTAAACCAGTAGTGAGAAAACCTTGGGTATTTTTTTTTGTCACGGAAAATGTGAAGCATATCGATAGCATATCGGTTAACTTCAAGCATATCGGATTTTTTTCGAAGCGTTTAGGCCCGATATCCTAGTGTATGCCTGGCTAGAAGCCTGCTTATAAGTTATATGTCGTATGTACGACTAATATCATCGACAGGGTACGACATACATTGTATATGTCGACAGGGTATGACATATCAAACATATGACATAATGTTGACAGGTGTCGGTACGACATATACATAGCTGCCAACTTTTCAAAATCCCAATTAGTAATCAACCCGCGCGGTCATTTTCAACTGCTCCTAATCCTATTATCAAAAGTGTATGTACCAGCTTTACCAACATCGAGTACAGGTACATGGTTTACATGTGCATACCATTCTTGTTGTGAAGAATAATGTACTGTAGGCCAAAAGATAATAAAAAAAAAAAAAAATGATAATATATTTTTTAAAATTAATTTTGCTTTACTGTCTGTGCATGTTCGTTGAAGTCAAATAAATAATAACAATAATTACATGTGCGCATTTTTTTTTTGAAATGCATGCTATCGATGTTGAGTTTCGAGCTCGTATCGTGTTTTTACACACAATGATTTAGGGCCACCGTATGCAATAGAAATATCCTGCCAACATACCTTGCAAACGCATGCTGATCTATCTTTTCTGGACGTTGTGATAAACTCAAACTTTATTACCAATTATTCCAACCATACTCTTATTTTAAATTCCATGATTAAAATCTCGCACTGATGGGTCTCATCCCGGCAATAAGCGACCAAATGTGCTCACGATCGTCATTGAAAAGTACTCACACATACAGAACAGTACACACACCCAACCACCCATCCACAAGATGCACACAAATGGCACACCCTTGAAAAATATTTTTAGTCTGGTCCTCAAATACTCCAATGCGCACACTGCAATGATGTCTATCAGGTGCTTGACTGCATTGCTTATTAGACTTGTCACCGGTCCATCCTTTATCCCATCATTTCGCCAGAAACGATACTTTACAAGTATTTTTTTTTTGTTAGGGAGAAAATGGGAAATTCGTAATGTTTAAGTGGCAAATCGTATTTTCGTAATTAAACAAACAATTCGTAATCATTACGAAAAAATCGTAACAGTTGGCAGCTATGCATATATGTCGTGCATAAGTCGAGTCGACAGGGTACGATATATGTCGCTTACGACAAAGTCGTATATAAGTACGACTTAATATCTCGTGTGTACAAAATATGAATTGTAACTCGTATCATCTACTTGTTTGTCGATTATGTCTTACATACAACACATCTTGTGAGAACGAATTGTACCTCGTGCGATTTACATCTACGACATACATGTACATGTACATGTCGTACGTATGTTGTAGGTACGACATACGATTCATGCATACGCATTAAAATACATGTGTCGTACGTATGTGATGTAATTTGCACATGGTACGAATTCAGGGAGAGTTTTTTTTTCACCATGTACCTGACAGTTTCATATATTTCCATCCCAAAGTCAATAGCTCGTTTCTTGCAGTAATTCATACGGGTGCCTATAGATACGAGTTAACCTGCATTCGATTAAATGGGTACGATTTGACGTGGGTCTGAGTTGACCTGTTCCCTACATTCACTGTCATAGCACGGGCAGGTAGCGGTCTGATAATGTACGCTGTTGCACCGACAAAACGTCGGCAGACTGTCTTGAACTCTCCTATTCGCAATACATTGGAAATAGTATCATTTTGAACAATTGTTCACTCAATATAGCGGCATATTTCATTTGTTTGTAATGGGATTGAAATACCTGGACATACCATGGTTTGAGTGAACATACATGTACATGTACGTGGTGTATACAGTAATTTGCGGGATCATGATTATGTATGTCGCGGGTCAAAGTTTACGGGCTTTGATTGGGTATCGTGTAATATATGCGCATCAGAAATTTTCGGCCGATTTCGGTCGAAACTATAAAGAAACACATAAGGAATTCGCCACGGTTGCGTCAAGGCTATCTTGCGCCTCGACTTACTGTACGGCTGTTTGCGGAAGTGTGTGTGGGACGTACGTACATGCACACAAAGCACACGCAAGGGTCGTTGAGGCTAACGGCAGGGGTTGCCCTTAACTTTTTTTTTTGACTGGCCAGCCGGACCAGTTGGCTAGAATTTTGACTGGTCCGCCAGGTTTTTGACTGGTCCGTCTTATACAGCGTGTACCAACCAGTTAATCAGTTTCACATAAGTCATAATTAGACTATAGTCAACACCCATGTCATCATGGCACCTGAGCAATAGAGGTCTATTTTCTTCCTTCATGACCTGAGGCCGCAAATAAAAAATATAGTTCTGCCTCAGATTACATGCCTTTCAAAAATAGGGTCGGTTGGTCGGATTTTGGTTTTTTGTGGGCACATTTTTTTTTATGCAGATTGAATGGGGTATTCAATTAGGCCTCAGTATGCGAAGTTTTAGCCTGATTTATTTTCATTGCACTACGAAAGCTATACACAAAATGATGGCCACAAAAAGTGAATAAAACCTACCTTAATTAGGCCAAAAAAAATAGTTCTGCTTCCGATTACATGCCTTTCAAAAATAAGGTTGGTCGGTCGGAAATTCTTTTTTTTTGCCAATTTTTTTTATGCAGATCGAATGGGGTATTCAATTATAATAATGCGAAGTTATAGACTGATTTCCATTGCACTACGAAAGCTATACACGAAATGGCAACAAAAAGTGAATAAAACCTACCTTTAATTATTGTCCATATATTTACGTTCGATAATTTCAAAAAATAATGGAAAATTCAGGTCGTTCGCACCATATGCTTAACGCTAGTCAAAACACGGGGATCGAGCTGGCCAAAAAATAGGGTCGGTCGGGTAACCGGAAGCAGAACTATTCTTTTTTTTGGCCTAAGGTCGAACCCATTTCTTAATAAAAAGCCTAGAAAACTATATCACCTGAGCCACATGGGGATTTCTCCCCTTGTTTTGGGCAAATTTTAAGGCGGATTTCTGGCTGGGGCCATATTGAGGGTCACCCAGATCAGGGAAGACAGCTACAATTGCTCTTTCTTTTACATAAATGTCAATATAGTAGTCAGAGATTACATTAACATTGAAATTAAACAAAGTTAATGCAAAGTTCCAAGATTAGGGGCCTTCAAAATTTGAAAAAAATGCATGCGACGCATCATGACGGATCATTTTTGACCCCCCGTAAAATTAAGGTGTGAGGCATGATGGGTATTATTTCCCTATATTCCTGCTCTACTACAGTAGTTGTACCCATGTCTCTAAATTCAGCTTCCAATTCAATTTCAATCTCAAGATATCTGTCCTTAAAGTCAGCGATTTATTCTATGGGCCAGTCAGTTCCCTTTTTTTTGGCAAAGTTCATTGAACTTTGTGCTACCGTAACACCTCAATGGAAAGCAATATGAATTTTTGCTTTCGATATCATCTATAGAACAACTTACAGAACCTTTCCACCAAGTTTGAACAAAATCTGTGACATATGGTGCCATGGCCCGTTGAATTGGCATGGAATGACCCTTTCAGGAGTTGTGAACTATTGTGTCCCCTATCCAAGACGTGACTTTTATACGAATATTTGCTCACAAATGGCCATAAGAGAGCGATTACACCCAATTATGATCTCATCATAAGCAGTTTTTAATTTTAAATGTTTTTCCCCAAAAAATTATGGAGTCGATTCCAAGTGGAATCGTCATTCCCAGACGGAATTGGAATCAATTACAAAAATGCTGGACTCGTCCAACTCATCCTATCCCCAACTCGTTATAATTTTGTTGTTTGGCAAATTTACTATTCAAGTCAAACATGTGTCAGCGTGTAATTCAAATATCTGCAAATATTTCCTTTTTCAAATCGTGGAAGTTGTCTGAAGGGCTTTATAGCTTTATGTAAACTGTAACTTTGCAAGTGTCATTAGTCGCATTAAAATGCACACAAACATGAACTCTGTCTTGGTTTTCCATGTACTAAAAGTAGCCTGGTTCCATTTTGAAAATTCTCCACAAATAACATTCAAAACCGATGCATGCCCCTACTGGTGATAAATGTGTTGTTTGGCAAATCTACTATTCCAGTCAAAAATGTTTCATTCAAATATCTGCAAATATGTGTACTTTGTATAGTAGGCATCCAAATCAGAATTGCTATTTAAGTGGTTTTCTTACCTCTGGGTTTTCATCAGTCTCTTACACTGCATACTCCATCTGGTCCATCGATCAAAACGAATCACAGCTAAGTCTGTTCCTCATTTGACATGTTCACGACATGTGTGGTTGTGGATGGAGCCAAAAACACTGAAGGAAATGGTCAAGTCCTTGAAGCTTACAGATGTCACAAGCATTGTCACTAACATAACAATCCATGGTAGCGTATTCTGTAGCAAGTTAGTGTTTTGCTGGACTCCTGTCAGGTGAAGAGCATTGTCAGAGTACACACAGGAAAACTTCATACAGCAAAAATGTTTGAACACACTGGCGTTGCATGCAGAGGTGAACATGACCACTTGTTGATGAATCACTGGTGGGAAGTATCTCATGAGGTCTTGGACTATGCATGCTCACACACGAAGGCTTGTTGGCTCCATGACTTGCTGAAGATGTGAGGATGTAATGACATTGTATTCACCTTCCTTTTTTAGTATGAAAAACAGGCTGGTATACTGAAAGAGACATGGAGAAAATACTTCATTAATTATCCAATAAAATATTTCATGCTTCACAATGGGCAGTGCAGAAGATAAAAATACGGTAGGACACCAAACACTTGCCAACCATTTACCATACTGTACTTTTGCAAGCCACAATGGACATACATCAGTGAAATTTGTTCTGCAATGGCATTCTCAAGGCATGTGATGAATCAACATCAATTGCGAGGGTTTAATTGTGGCCAGATGTATTTGGCACCGAATTTAACTCTACAGTACGTCACGGATCCTAAACACGAGGATAAACGACTCGGCCCAACTCCTGGTTAGACGCGTGATAACGGCCTGTACTGGTGGCAAATACCATGAAAACTTTTCAACAAAGACCACTGTGCGCGGTGGCTTTTAGATTTGCAAGGCTCTGCGCTTGATCTGGCCTCGAAGTCTGTCAAACCAGCAAATTATATTTTTGAATATTCATGAGTCTACTTTTTTCGGTCTTTATTATTGAATTCTAATAAGTGATAACTACATAACCATGGAAATGCGGAACAAATGTCTTTAGCTTTAAGATGAACAATGAAATGTTTTGTTTCATCGGTTCGGCATCACATCTCTCTAAAACTTTTTAATAAAAGCTTCATTAAAAACGAAATTTGGGTAAACGGTGTTCTCCTCGAAATTTGACGTTTATTTCCCGGGTAAATACTTTATCTATGACGACAAAAACTGCACAATACCATCTGGAATTTGGGAGAAATTTGACAAGTACAATATAATCACAGACCAGAACTCAAGAAAGTTATCCACTAGCACTGAGTAATACAATGAAATCATTCCATTGTGGAAGACAGTACAAATCTTCTAAACAGAAGATTAAACAGAAAAAAAACATAAACGACATGCCTGTCTCCGTAATGTCACATTCACATATCACTTGTAGGGCTGAGCAGAAAATGTACATTGTACAGAGTACAGTTTTTAAATCCACTTTTTTCCATAAGAAAATGTTACCTACTGATATTTCAGAATTAAATCTGGACACTCCTCATTTACAAAACGCACCAGTTGCAAAGTCTCTCCATTATTTCTTTTTTTGAAATATCAAGGCAATGTTGAGGGATGACAATTATAATGCAAACAGAAACAAATCACTTAAAAAATTGTCTGCACAGTTTCAGCTCCTACAGCATGCATCCAGCACATGAGAATACCAATGCAGGCCTGTGATTGGCTGTAAGTTTTCCTTAATTTGCATATGTAAATCTGTACTTCAGGGTTACCTTATATGGTAATGAAATTCAATGTTTTGGGCTCTGGGCTGACTGACTACCCTCCCATTGGCTACTGGTGTTTGTATCAAAAACAGAGTTTTGGGATGAATGCAGGCTTGGCAACCTTGGCAACCTGGGCGACAGGTAGGGGGTGCAAGTTGTTGCTTAGTCTGAGGCATTTTATCACACACTGTTGCCAAAAAGACTTAATCCAATGAAAATAAAAGGAGAAAACAATCTTTTCGCTGGGGATAGGGCTAGGGAGGAGAGGTTGCTCTGTTGTGCACGCACCTCCCAACCCCCCTTCCCCTCCCCCTTAAAAAAAACGGAAAAAAAGTTCGGAATTTTTTTAGTGTAATTTTGGTCACTTGGCTATCTGCTGTATCGTGGAAAAAAATCCACTTCTAAGACTCCTAAATAAAATAGTCCCATAAATGTGACGGTAATACTGGACTACCTCCGTATTAACCGTCACAAATCCACATGTGGTAAATTGGACGGAGAGTCCGTTGCTAAGGGAGTCAAAAATCCATTCGAAATCACAATTGTTTTGTCACTTTATACTCACACAATGCCGTCTACAAGTTAAACTGCTTAATATCAACAAAATATTAAATTCGGCACCTTCAGAAGTCTAGTTATCTTGTAATTTCGAGTTGAATTCGGAAGACTTTTACAGCCATTGTTCACGAAAGCGTCGTGTTGCATGACGTCATGGGTTGTGATAAATTGTGCCCTCACTAGCTTGCATCATATTTTGACAATGTGCATTTGTACGGCTGTTGCCTGTCATTCAGTTTTGGTCAAAAGTGCGCCCGCATACATGCACTCTCCGTCCAATTTACCACATGTGGATTTGTGACGGTTAATACGGAGGTAGTCCAGTATTACCGTCACATTTATGGGACTACTATTACTAAATAAAATAGCTAGCAATGTTGAAAACCAACATGAATGTCATGGAAAGAGGGCAGGTTTTTAATTTTTGAACGGAACATTTAGAGCAAAATGGTGACGAAGATAGATCAGGCAATTCAAGAATGTCTATTTTTTTTAGAAATTTCACATGGAAATTTTTGCAGCCAAAAAATTCCCAAAATGGTGAACTGTTAAAAAGTATACAAACTAACTAACTAGTAGAAAATATAAGAAAGCCGAAATTAATTTTCAATGTTTTCATAACCAAGTAAATGTGCTTCAAAATCTAGAGTAAGGCCCCTCCGGTTTTCCTCCCTCCCCGCCCCCTCCCGACATGCCCGAGTTTTCCCGAGTATCTTCGCCACGTAATTTTATAACACTCACAAGTTCCCTTAAATGCAGGACTTATCAGCCGACATTTCACCTCAAATTGTCCCCAAGGCTTCTCTGTTCATCAAGGGACCATGTGACACAAGAAAATTGGCTAAACTTTGGCAAAAACCTCATTTACAAAACGATAAACTCACCTCTCACTTGTCGAAAAAACCACACGTGCAAGGTAGCCATGTTTGATGTGGGCGAATTCTCCGTTTTTCAATGAGCCAATCGCAGGGCGCCGTGATATGCATACATGCATTATTCATACAGTCGGGAGCCCGGTGTCATGTGATTGGTTATTAGTATATCCGAGGGTATAAAATTTTATTTTCGCACTAAATAAAATCTGTAGTGTAAATAAGCTGTCCTTTTTGTGACGAGGATAAAAAGATTAGGTTCCCAATATCATACGATTGCTTAGCACTCAAGATCCGCTGTTTGGCTGGTTATTTGAAATTGGGGTGTCTGGCTATCTCCCGATCCAACCCTTCCCCCCCCCCAACCTCCTCACAAAAGTGTGTCCTGCCCATTGAGTCACTAATGTAAGTTTTCTTTGTCATCACAAATAATCCATGTAATAAGGAAATCACACAGACAATTAATAGCATGCACAGTACGTTTTAATAGACAAAGCATTTGCAAATAAGGCTAATTAACTAGCAGCACGATTCCATTTACTTAAAAACCAAAGCATGCATGTGGATACATAAACGTATACAATTATAAATGTCTGAGTATGTACATAATTTGCATCAATTAAACATGCATAATTATTATCACTTGAACTGATTGACTTACTGTATCAACGATTCACATTGAACTAGGAATAAGTCCATTTAGTACCTTTCAGGTTTCTTTCTAATACTGGGTCATTGGCTATTATTAAAAAACTATCTGACCAAGACTCTTCTTACTTTGAGAAAAATGTGATTAAAAAAGAAACAACATTTCCATCTGCCATGCCACCAGAACAACACATTACAATCTCATAGCCCACACGTCAGCAAATTCAAGAATGTTAATTTAATGCATATAATAATCCATGTTTAAAGTGGCACTCTGTGCCCTGGAAATATACTAAGCACATAACATGCATGCTAAGCAACGATAGGTTACCAGCCAATCCTTCACACAATGTACACTGCTACTGACTGGTTCTCAGCTAAATTTCATTTAGCACATACCTTTTTAAAGCAATATTAACTGTTTAATAGCAGCTCTACAAAAAGGGCCCCTGACAATGTATTATATTAGTTATCATGCGAGCGCGAGTGGAACACGGAATAATGTAGTGCGTCTGTGTCCCACATACCACGAGGCCAAAGGCCGAGTGGTATGTGGGACACAGACGCACAACATTTTCCGTGTTCCACGAGCGCGAGCGCGATAACGAATTTATCTTCAAGCAAACTTGACGCGCAGTACAGTTGGAACTAGCACACATTATCTTGGAATAGCGCAATACGCAGAGTGCGGTATGGACCGTGGCCGTGCGGTATGGTTATATGTAGCACGGCTTGTTGCCATGGATCGACCAATCAGGATCGAGGATTCAAGTTTGCTTGAAGATAATTGGTGATATACTGCTTGTATCTAATCATATATTTTGATTGTTTGTTTTGATACAAAAACTGGAGCCAAAATGTCATATTCTACCACTTTCACACTCATTTTCATGAAATTGTTCAAAACGATCAAAACGTGGAAAATGAAAATGACCAGCATAAACCATGGAGGCTAGTAAGAAAAGGGAAAGTTACGGGTTCTTTTAATGAAGGACCTTCACATCTTTCTTAAGAAAAAATCAACATTACAACATTATAAAATACCGAAGCTGAAAAAAAAACTATGGAATGCCATTAAGGCTACAACAGCACTGTCCAATCCTCTCATTAAGAAATTATGTTTACTGAGTATTGAATATGGTTACTTAATATACTTCATACATATTCATGAGCAAGAGCCAAATTCTTACTGGTCCATCATCATCATGTTGACAACTGTTTGTCAACTCCAATACATCGGAAAGCTGATATCAACTATCCACCCTCAGACCATGTTAAATTCATAATAAGTCTCCAAATTTTGCACATAAAATAACTCATGCATAAACTTAAAGCAGTAAAAATCAAATTTAATAAACATTACCATAATACTGTAAATGCAGCAATTTAAGCAAAAACCTCTATTTGAGGAGAGTGAGTAAATGTGAGGTACCATGACAACAATTGAAAATGTAATATTTCTAAACATTCAGCAAATAAGAAAGAAGTGACTAAAAACACAAATTGTCTGTATTCAAAGTGGGATGATTCGATGAAAAGTGTGGCACAACCTGTTATCGTCAAAGGTTTCATCATTTCTTGCTCCAAGAAAAGTCATCAATTTATGCAAATTCTGATTAAGCCATCTTATTTGATTTGATTTTTTTTTTTTTTTACAAATGCTTAGAATGTGCGTTGCCTTAGGCTACAGTGAGCAAAAACTTTTTCTACTTAAGTAGTTTTAAAGACCAGTCTAGGGTTGAGTGGATTTTCAAAGTTCTCAAGTAGAGACTACAGGGTGATGACTTGGCAATCTCCTTCCTCAGTAGCGGAGGGGCCGGTGGTGGTGCGGCCACGTGGACAGGCACGGCAGTATGTGCTGCCCTCTAGTGACTGGTACATGCCACGTGGACACGGGTAGCAATCCTCCAGGTAGTTATACCAGCCTGACTCGCAGGGAACTGAAGAGAGAAGATGAGAAATAATAGCATCATTCTTGTGAGCATTTATAGAAGGGTTCTTGGTATGTTAGGCACAACAGCAGCTCTTACAAGGAAACATTTTTACAATAAACTAATAATCCTTTTCAGAGATTACAATTTTCCCTTGCAGATACTCTTGTAATTTTTTCGATAAGAGCAGACTGAACAAAATTATTTCATTTCCTCACTTATATCAATTGGGAATTTTGATTTTATTACTACTAGTAGGGATTGTAATGGGTTGGCACCTTCACTTCCTAGGATATCGCCGGGGGCCCTTGCCCCCCTACCTGGATAAACCACTTGGAATGGCCAAAGAACAATCTTTTCATTAGTATATCACAGGATCAACACACAAGTACAGGTAAGAAGTAAAATGCGGATGACCAATAACAAAAGGATGACTTTGTTGTAATTCACTTGAAAAGCTTGTGAGCTGTCTTGGGCCTTGTGACTGACTTGTGATGGATTTGTCATGGACTTGTGATGGACTTGTGCTTGACTAGTGATAGACTTGTGATGGACATGTGATGGACTTGTGATGGACTTGTGATAGACTTGTGATGGACTTGTGATGGACTTGTGATGGACTTGTGATGGACTTGTGATGGACATGTGATGGACTTGTGATTGACTTGTGATGGACTTGTGATGGACTTGTGATGGACTTGTGATGGACTTGTGATGCATTATTTGACTACATCACAGCAAAGAGCACATGCGCAGTCATCACTAGGTCACTACAGTTTATGATTCAGTTGTACTGCAGAAGACCGAAGCTCTAACTCTCATAAGGAGTGGAAAATGTAGACATAAAATACCACCAAGGCTAC